CTGCGGGGCTCTGACGGCCACAGACCCTTGCCCCTCCTCCTCCTCCTTCTCCTCCTCCTCCTCTTTTCCCTCCGCGCGCATCGCGGCCCATTTTCACATCAGCTCCATGGCCACCTGCGCACCTGACTTCACGCTTCCTGCGAAGCCTCCCTGCGCGCCTCCGAGCAAACTTTTGCGGTGATCGTGATCCGACGGGCGCCCGACGCCAGCGACTTGCAACTGCTCTGCCCGCGTCTTGCAGACGACGCGCAACCCCGGCCTCGGAGCCCCGTGGCATTCTCCCCTCTGGCGAGCCCGAACGTGCAAATCCGCGGGCGGCGTCGCGCCGCTCGCGGGAAGTGCTGGCCGGAGCACGCCGACAGCAAATCCGCGTTGATTCCGCCCATTCGTGGGCGTGAAGACGCGCCTGTGAAGCAAGTCGCAATAATCTATCCCTTCTGCTGTTCGGAGGGCGCGCCCGCGCCAAAAAGCCCGCTAGTTTGCCCTGTCTCTCGTCGAGAGCACGCCCTTGCGGAAAATTTCGCGATGGTCTCCCCCTCCTATCGCCCATAGAACGGGCCTGGGAAAAAATCGCGATAGTTCCCCCCTTCTATCGCCCATATACCACGGTCTGTCCCAGCAACATCGCGATAGCTTCCCCCTTTCATTCTCCTGATTGCGGGAGTTGGACATTCGGGCACACACCAAAGCAGAGCAACTCAGTCGTGGATTTATGCAGCGACGCGGCAGAGCCCCGGAGGACCCCGCCACGACACACCCCTCTCGGGGCACCGGCCTGACACCGGCTGACCCGAAGGCCCATGCAGGAACGCGGGTGTGCCATTGCTGACACACGCCACGAACCACCCCGATTCCGGGGGACCGGCTTATGGACACCGGCGCTCCCTTGGTTGATTTTGGCTCAACCGGTAAAGCCCTCGGTTGGTTATGGCCCAACCGGTAAAGCCCTTGGTTGCTTATGGCGCAACCGGCATAGCCCTTCATTGCCGTGCTCCGCCCCCCCGCGCCTCCCGGGGAGGCCCCGCTGGAGTGGAGCCAACTGTAGCCTTGAGGCCGCTCAAGGCTACTTGAGCCTTCGGAGCGGCGAGCAAACAACTGCAGATCCTCTCCCCCCTTCCGGTCGTCGTCGTTCTTCCCGTCCAGCGTGCCACCTCTTTCTTGTCCGTGACTCGTTCCTTTTCCTTTACTTGGTCACCCTGTCGTCCTCCTGTTCGTCTTCCAGATTTTTTCCTCCTCCCCCTCCCCCCACGTTTCCTTCTCCTCATGTCCCTCCGCCACTCTCTCTTGGACCTCCATCGTCATTGAAATGCGTTTTCTGCGACTGTGATCCTTGGAGTTTCTCCCCTCGTCGCTTCCTCGTGGCTCCTCCTCGCACATCCTCATCGTCATCTTAATATCTGCGCCAGCAGACTGATCTCCCCCAGTGATCTCTGCGTCATACACACCATGCATCAACGCAACAATGAGCTGTGACATTTGCCTGTCCGTGGGAAAAACCAGCTGCGCGCTGGCCCCGCGTTAGGTCTACGACAAGCTTTCTCTAAACATCTACGACCAGTTGCGCGCCCCTTTACGGGACCGAAAACCATGATTCTCGCGCGCCGCGCCCAGCCGCAGCGACGAAGACACGCCCCCAAACACAACAAAAAAGTCGAGCGAAGCCGAACGGCAACACAAACTCAGAACAACCCCCCCCCCCCCCCCCCCCCCCCCCAGCGATTTCGAAAGGCGGCTTGGAGAAACCTCAACTGAAAGAACAGCTCCTGATCGGAATGCGCGACAACATTCAGAAAACATCGGCCTCCCTTCCTCTGCGCACACAAGCACGAGCAGCGTGGACCACTCACCTATGCACATCCCGCAGCCCCAGGCAGGAATGAAATGCGAAAGGACGAAACGTGACGATCCTGATCCTATCTCACCAGCACGTTTCCGTGCCAACCATCCCACCCTACAGGCTCGAGATATGTGAAGGTGCGCACGCTGGATCACGTCATTTTCACCAACCGCCTGCTGCGCGCCAGCTAACGCCCGACGAGCCTAGCTCATTCTGACCGAAGAGAGCGCTAGACGAATAGACGCCAGGAGCGCTGCTAAACGCAACCCAGCACGTCAAGTGTGAGCCAACTGGCAGAGAATGAACCACTCTCTTGTGTTGGGCAGGTGGTAGAGGTGGCACGGCTTTCTCTGCATCGACGAAGAACCATTGGAGCAAGGGGGAGGGAGGTAAACAGGGAGTAGAGATGATGATGGACAAAGACACGTGGGGAAGGCAGAAAAAAACGGTTGTGAGAAACTACACTTGGTGCAGACATAGGCAACTGAACTACAGCTCGGGCCCACTGCCACTCAGAACGTCAAGTGCACGGGGATGGCCGTCAAGGCCCCCTGGCGCAACGCGCTCCGACCGCTTCTCTCTGCCAACATCCACGTTCATATGTGGGCATTTCATGCAGGACCTTTCACAGGAACGGACGGCCCAAACCCAGGACATCAATCGGACGCCACAGAAACCGTCGTCTCAGTAGCCAAAATTGAACGAGAGTGTGACGGCTTGGGGAACAAGGCACCAGCAATCGGTTCCACTCCAGAAGACACGATGCTGGAAATGATTAACATCCCGCCCACCATCATCCTCATCCTCGTCTTTTTTCTCCTCCCACACCCCCCCTCCTCTTCCTCCCCCACTCCATTCCTCCTCCTCCCCTCCCCTCTTCCTCGTTAGCTCTCCCTTGTCAGCAAGAGGGGTTCCATCGCGATCGACCTTGAGCCTCACTGCAAGTCGGCCGCTTTCACCTGGCTGTTGGCGCGGCCCACACGCGAGCCATGGCCGGGGGAACCAAGGAAAAGGAGAGCGGTTCATTCCCGTGACAACACAGGTCGACGTCAGGACCACAAGAGAAGAACAACGAGCGCAAACACATGACGCGGCACCAATGCTACAGCACACCCTCCCGCCAACAATGCTTCACTACATCGGTGAAATTGTGTAGGACACAGTCGTGACTGGATTCTGCGGGTCTAGTGCATGCGATACCTGTATATATACACTAGAACCACGCGCGCGCTTCGCGCGCGCTTAGGTTCTAGCGCAGACCCGGGCAACGTCTGAACACCGGATTGTGGAGCTGAACCGGGAGAGCAGAGTGGTACGAGGTACGTTTCTACACGCTCCTTCAGAACTTGGGGCACAGCGACGGCGACGGCGGCGGCGACGGCGACGGCGACGACGACGACAGACGGTGAAACGTAGAGGCTCTCATGTACTTTTAAAAATTATATGCTGGGAGTGCGCTTTTTCTAAACTGGTGTGAGGGGCCGCAGGCTTGCGGCCCGGATCGATTGTCGAGGGTCCCGGGGCTCGGAAACGGCCCCCAGGGGTCCAAGAAGCAGAAAAAATCCTCGAACCTCGAAGTTCGATCCTGCAGCCTGGATCGACGACGACGACGACGACGACGACGACGGCGGCGGCGGCGGCGGCGGCCGTAGCGACGACGACGACGACGACGACGGCGTCGGCGGCGACGGCGAGGGCGGCGGCGACGGCGACGGCGACTGCGACAACGACGACAGACGGTGAAACGCAGAGGCCCTCACGTACTTTCAAAAACTACCTGTTGGGAGTGTAATTTAAAGATGGTGAGGGGCCGCAGGTTTACGGCCCGGATCGATTGTCGAGGATCCCAGGGCTCGGAAACGGCCACCAGGGGTACAGAACGCAAAAAAATCCCAATCGGACCTCGAAGTTCGATCCTGCAGCCTGGATCGACGACGGCGACGGCGGGGGCGGCGGCGGCGGCGACAGTGGCGACGACGACGACGGAGGCGTCGGCGGCGAGGGCGGAGAGGTAATCAAGCCTTTGGGGGTCGTTCTGGGCCGAAGGGCCGAGCGTCGACACAGGCGAGAACGTGGGCACTTCGTCGTCGTCGGCGCCGTCGTCCCCGTCGTCGCAGTCGTCCTCGACGTCATGGGCGACGTCGTCGTCTCTGTCGTCGTCGTCGTCGTCGTCGCCGTCGTGGTCCTTCTCCTCGTCTGCTTCATCGTCGACATAGCTACCTTAGCCATCCGTCTCGGGCGCGCTGGGCCGCATGGAAAACCTGGCGAGCCATGTTCCCAGAGGGCCTTTTTGGAACACAGTGTCGGGGTGGCGGAAGGAGGAAGAATCACGTTCCCAGAGGGCCTCTTGGGGCTTCCTAGGGGGTCCCTTCGGGGACGGTAGTGCCTTCCTGCGGGCCTATGGAAGGCCTCGCAGGGCGTCGTCGAAGCCTCTGGATGACCTCCGGGGCCTCCTGGGGCCCTCTCGGGGCGGAAAATTGCATGTTTACATTTTCGGTCGGCCTCTGCGGCCTCTATCGGGGCCTTCTCGGGGCCCTCATGGACTCTCACGGGCGCCTCTTGGGCTGTCTTGGGGCCCTCTGGGGCCGTCACGAGGCCGTCTTGGGGGCCTCCCGGGCTGTCTTGGGTCGCTCTTGAGGACCTCTTGGGCCGTCTTGGAGCGTAGGACAGCTGAAAATGCGAGAAAGCCAAAAACATAGAAAAACACACACGAAAATCAACGAGTCTGGCTTCCCGGGGCCCTCTTGGGAGGCTTCTTTGGGGCTTCTTGGGGCGTCTTGGAAGCTTCTTAGGCTGTCTTGGGCGGTCCTCGGGGCCTCTGGGGCAGTCTTGGGGCCATCTTGGGCGTTTTGGAGCCCTCTGGGCCTGTCTTGGGGCGCTCCTGGGCGACTCTGGGGCCGTCTTGGCTGCTCCAGGGAGGCTCCAGGACCCCCCCGTCCTCCCATGGAGGGTCGGGGCACTTGTTTTGGGGCCGCGGGCCAGCCCCCCAGATATATGCGCACTATAGGACCACACGGCGCGTCATAAGAATGTCCGGGGAAGGGAGGGAGGCGGGCGAGGAATCCGGACGATGCGCAATGGCTCTGCGTGCTTTGTGGAAATGGTGGTGCCTGGTGGCGGTGATGGTGGCGATGATACTGATGCTGGCAGCGGAGATGGTACACATGGCATGAAGACTCTTTTGTAGGATCACGTTTCAACAGGTGGAGTACATTCCATGAACTTGACGCGGTGCTGGTGCCCGCAGACATTCCATGAACGATTGCGTGGATAGTGCCTCTGTCACTCTTTGGCCGCCAGGGACTGTCTACCAGCAGCGAACCTTTGGCGTGCACACACGCTTCGAGGCACGCTTTCTCTGCACAGGCCTACTTCTCGGCGGACTCTTCGGACTCAGCCTTCGGCTCCGAAACGTCCTTCAAGCCGCGCACCGTGAGGCCCGATGCAGTCACCTTCGTGGCAGTCGCCGTCATCGTGGCCACGGCCTTCAAGGTCTTCGCTCGACGTTTCTTCGAGCCCACTGCCCGACCTTCTTCAAGCATGAGTTTTCCGAGCGCCACTGTCTCGGACATAGAAGCAACGCCCTCCTCCTGATCTTGCTTCCGCTTCTTGTGAGCATTGTAGCGTTGCACGTACTCCTGATACTCCGTCTCGGTCAACGGAACGATCTCACCGAGCGGCTGCAACTCGCTGTGATCGAAATCCCCCGCTGCTTTGAGCTCGACGAAAACGACACCCTCCTCAGGCACGAACACCTTTGTCACCTTTCGCACTTCGCGCGGCGCCAACCTCGACTTCACCAGGTTGAACGCCAGGCTCCGCGTCTTTGCTAGTGGCGCGGCCGCGCTGTTGAGCATAATGTTGAAGGCGCACGCCATCGCAATCCTGTCAAAGAAGATCCACGTCAGAGCCTCTAGCAACACAGGACACACTCGAGCCATGTGCAATAAACGAACTGCTTGATTTCTCAGAGGCCGCTCACTGATCCTTCAAGATCGAGGATGGTTCAATTTTTGATGTCCTTGTCCAAAAAGGTTCAGCCCTGCGAGGCCCCTGGAGTCCTGGGACACGAGAGCGCCAGGGCGCCTGGAGAGGAGGTGATAAAAAATGGGAGGGGAGGAGTGGAGGAGAGGTTCTCTCTGGACCTCGCCTGCACCCCGAGGCCCCTCACGACTGCTCTCCCCCTTATTCACTGCTGCCCTCTCTCCGCAGAACACAGCCGCTGAGAAATGATCTCAGCCAGTGTTGGTTGGAAGATCCCCCCTGAGGCTACTTCTAATGAGCTGTAGAATGAGAGAAACGAGCCACGACTCTCTACCAAGATGGAGGCAACTTTTAAGTTATGCGGCAACAGTGGAGTACATATTGTCATATCACATCGTGTCGAATTCACAAACTTTCTATGAGAGAGTGCGCAGAAAGTGCCTCACGTCGATCTTTGGCCGCTGATATTGCGGCTGCCAGCACCGAATCTTTGGCGTGTATACACGCTGACGCACATACCAACTAGCACAGAATTACACCTCGGCAATCAGGTGAACATGGCGTCCACGGGTACGCCGGCCCGTGCGGCCTCCTCCTCCACCATGTCCTGCCCGATCCGCCCAGAGGCCCACAGCTTCCGGTTGATCAAGCCGCGAGTGGACACGCTGCAATGGCGTTTCTTAGCTGGCTCGACCTCGGACTCCTGATCGTTGCTGTGCATCGCCAAGCGGGCCGTGTCGCGCCTCAGGTCGTGCAGCAAAGTCTGTGACGAGTCGAGGATCTTTCCGTACGCGCCCTCGGCCACTTGGATGAGCTTGGCGCACTCCTCCCGCAATCGCGTTTGCCGCCCAAGCCGTCCGTTCACTTCCTCCAGCTTGCTTGCGAGGATGCTCAACTCTTTCTGTATCTGCTCCTGGACCTCCTTCTCCTGGGACATCTGGCGATTCATCTCGTCGCGCTGCTCGTGGAGGCTCTCGACGGACTTGACGAGCTCGCCGTTGTACCAGACCAATTTCGAACCCTGCAGCGCCATGCCCTCGCCACGCTCGGTGATGGACGACGCACAACCTAAGGGACGCCGAAATGCGGGACGGCAGGTCTGAACCTTGAGCCGAAATGACTACGGACGCGAAGCATCCTGCCCCTCTCCCCCGGAGCCTCGTTCTCAACTGCGTTTCGGAAGCGACGTCTCTCCGACCGCAACACGAAGACTGCATTTAGGATGTGTTGGAATTGGTGGAGTACATGCCTTGGTCTTTCCGAAGCGTTTGTGCCCGCAGAGCTTCTGCGACACATTTGCGCAGCTAGCGCCTACTGACGATCTTTGGCTGCAAAGCTCATAGCTACCAGCAACGAATCTTTGGCGTGTGCACGCGCTTCGAAGCAGCCCTGCTTTGGCACAGACCTTCTCCTCCTCGGACTCTTCGGCCACAGCCTTTGGTTCCGAAGCTTCCTTGAGGCCGCGCACCGCCAGCCCGACGCAGTCACCTTCGTGGCCGCATTCCGGGATTCCCCAAGCCTCCGATTCCTCCAGAACCCAACGATGATCGACCACCAGAGATTTCCGGAGGCTTCGTAAGTCTGTCCGGGGACCTCTGTAATCTCCCCTCTCTTCGTTGAAGCCTCTCGCCGCGGGACAAATTGGCTGAGAAATTGTCTCAGCCATTTTTTCGCTTTTGGCTCCGCCGACCGGATCTCTCTACAAAAAGGTCGGGGCCACTATTGAAAGCTCGCCCCCCTCGCTCCTAGCGGTTCGGGATACCTTCAGAACGACAAAAACAAGCGAAGGACAAGTAAGTTCGCTCCTGGAAAGGAGAAAGGAGCTCCTGGAAAGATAGAGTTTCAGAAGCGCTTGGGAGGAACTGAGAAAGCAACTACAGAGAGGGATGCGGTAGCAGGCCGAGTGGGGGACTGGCAGTGAGCGGTGCAAGATGACCGGACCGTGGATGTGGCGCAGAGAAGCTGTGCATGGACACAATGCACGAGAAAGGCTACGAGAAAGTAGCCAAGCGTAGCGTACAAGAGGTACTTTAAACTGTCTCGCTCTACACAGGGGCAAGACGTGCGAGACTCCGCGGCTTGAATAGGCTGAGCCAGGCGACGGCGTGAATCGTGACACACCTAGCGCTGTTGGTGGGAAGCACTCGCAGCGATCTTTGACATGTCTCCATGTTCGCCGCGAGGCGGCGCTCGCCCGCAGGCAAACAGCGCGCCCTTCCAGTCTTCGGAGTGGCATTCTTTGGCATGCTCGCATGCTTTGCCACCGCGGTCGCGATTGCTCGACAGATTCTACCGAGCAGGATCGCGAAAAGAGCCCGTGCAACAGTCACTGCGGCCACATCAGAGCACGGCGGCGACGTGGAGCCTCGCCGAGCTCGGGGAAGTCGTAGATGCAGCAATCCCCATTCACCACGATGCGACCGCCGACGTCGTCGCGGTCCACTTCAGCTCCTAGGATTTTCACTGCGCTGCCCCTCTGGAAAAAGCGCTTCGTCCCTTCACCCCAAATGATGCATGTGAAGACGTGCCCACTGGAGCTCACCATGTCGATCTGCAGACGCGCCGACTTACCAGCGGCCCCGGGAGTGACACCCCCAACCGAATGGATGAAAGCTGCCAGAGTGGCCCTGGTCTTCTTCGGGAGAGTGGCGATCTCCTCGACTTCTGATGCTGGAGTGGTGATCCCGATGAAAGCTGCGTGGTCCCTACCGGCGACGCGTGTCATGATAGGCTTGTCACGGAGCTCCATGGTCCAGTCCGAGCGCACGTCCACAGGGCCCGCCTTGATGATCTCGCCGCGGGCGAATGCTTCTGAGCACGTCTTCAACTGCTCGGCCAACGGGCCCCAGCTGGAGATGCTCCCTGCCATGATCTGGCCGCCGCCTTTGGACTGGACGACGAACACCTTGAACAGGCTCTTCACGGTGCCGTATCTGGTCTTCACGGGGGAGACTTGGAGCGAAGCCCCATCGAAAACAGCCGTCACCTCCGCTCCTATTGCCATCTCTTCAGCCATTTCGTCGATGAACGGCACCGCCGGAGCTTTGGGATGCTGTTCCCAGCCCTGGCTGCCGTCCCAAGAAGCATCATTATCTCCCCACTCGGCGCTTGCGCGCCCCGAAGTAGTCCCCCACGTCTGGCCGCCGCCCCACCAGGGCTGGTGCGAGGCGCCCTCGCCCCACTGCTTCAACAGGCTGCGGCCTGAATGCTGCCAATCGTCTTTGTGGTGCCACTGCGCCTCGCCGTCCATGGACCAGTCCTCGTCCGACGTGCCTCCGACGCGCGTCTCCCAGCTCGCCCAATTGCTGTCGTTCCAGCGCCGCTCCTTCGTGTCCGACTAGCAAGCCTCAGTATAGCCCCAGCTGCCTACGACGTCCGTCATCGAACTGTCCCGGGCGTCCTCAAACTCCCAGTCGGTTTGTGGGCCACGCGCGTCTCCGTCACCTACCTCTGAGACCACGCCTGCTGCTTCTTCGGAGCATTCCGCTTGGCGCCAATCTCCCTGCCACCATGAACCGTACTCCACGTCATCGCGCCAGCTCCACTCTGCCGAAGTCCACGTGACGCGCTCGCCACCTCCATCGCGATCGCTACCCGCGACGTCGACGTCACGACTCCTGGATCTGGCGCGGGCGTGCATCGGCGGAGTCACGGGCGCGCGCGGGGGGGCGCTCTCGCCGACGGGCTGGGACGACGCAGCCATGAAAGGACCGACCTACGCGCTGAGAAATGGCGTTCGGCTCTTGCGACTGCCAACTTGAGCCTGCACGGCTGCCCACGCGTGCAAGGATGTTCTAGAACACCATCCCCCCCGCGTCCTCTCACCAACCCTTCAGAAAGCACGGTCATCGTCGCATGCCCACGATATGTGCCCTAACCCGTGGAGGATCGTTTATCCCTCCGCCCTGGTTCCGTCTTGGAACCTTCCAAAGGTTCGCACACTAACCCAGTGAACCCCCCCTGGACCTCTCCAGAGATCCATCCGGCGTAGGTTTTCACCCCAGGTATTTCTTCGAGCGGCCCATGATTCCGAAACGACCCGCGGGAAGTGCCACGCACCATCCCGAGGCAGGAGGAAGAGAAGGAGGGGAGGAGAAGAGGAAGGGGATAGGGGTGGGCAAGGGAGGAGGAAAGAGGTAGGACAGGGAGTGGGGAGAGGAGCATGGACGAGGGTCGCAAGCAGGAGGGCGAACAAAAGGCGGAGGATGAGGAAGAGGGGGAGAAGGAGAAAGCAAAAGGGGAGAGGAAGGCAGGGAGGAGAGGAGAGGGAGGAAGAGAAAGTGCAGGAGAGGCCCTTGGCGCCCCCCCAGGAAAGGCCTAAGAGAGCCGAACAAGCCTCGAAGACGGCCCAGGAGCCTCCCAAGCCGGCCCCCCTGAGAGCGAAATACGCTCCCAAGACGGCCCAAGAGGCGCCCAAGACGATGCCCAAGAGGGACCACCCAGAAAAATATAATATTTTCTGGGTGCCCCCACTGCGAATTCCGTTGGACGCTTTTCAGGTGCCCTCGGCGGCCCCCCAGAAGGCCCCCAAGCGAGCCCAATTGGCCTCGAAAACGGCCCAGGAGACCCTCAGGACGGCTCCCAAGAGAGCCGAAGGAGCTCCGAAGACGGCCCAAGAGGCGCCCAATACAATTCCCAAGAAGGACCACCCAGAAAAATATCATCTTTTTCAGGGCGCGCCCATTGTAAGCTCCGTTGGAGTCTTCTGAAATGCCCTCGGCGCCCACCCAGGAAGGCCCCAATTGAGCCCAACGGGCCTTCAAAACGGCCCAAGAGACTCCCAAGGCAGCTCCGAAGAGACCTGTCACGCCCAGCGTAATACTGTATGTTTGTGGGCGCGCCCTTCGAAGGTTTCGCTGGGAACTTTTGAGGAGCCCTTCGGGCCCTCCAGGGAAGTCCCACGAGAGCCCGATACATGTCGAACACAGCCCAAGAGGCTCCGACCACGGCTCCCAAGAGAGCTCCCAAGAAGGCCCCCAGTGGGGGCGGAGGGAGAACGATAACGCGACACCCCGATATCCGAAACAGGGGCTGGGCCGCGAAGCAAACGAGGGGCAAACGAGGGGAGGGCAACCTCCGCGCCACGCCCGGCTGCATGGGGCTGATTCCTTCGCTTAGCGAGTTTCGCTCGGAGCGTCTTCGTCGCTCTGGAAGACGTCTCGCACCTCAGCGCGCTCCAGCCGAACGCCCCCTACAGTAACTGAGAGCGAATGAAGTCAAAGACGTATCACGCGGACACTGGCACGGACGCAGGACCCTTGAAGGCTCGAGGAGATGGAAAAGTGGAGGCGGAGGATGCGAGGAGGGAGAAGGCGAGGAGGAGGGAAGGATGTCAGGATCGGGGGAAGCCGCACGCCCCAACATGGAGTGATGATTGCAACGGCGGTTTCGTGCCACGATGCCACCGACGCCATACCTGGCTCCTCTTCGATCGCTCAACACTGAACGACCGGCGGCTCCCCGATGGGCATCGCCGCGGCGCGCGGGCATCTGCGCGCTCCGGCGAAACCGCCTTGGCGAGGAAAGCCTCTGCAGCCTATGCCGCGGCGCGCGAAGCACAATTATCCTCGCGCCCCCCTCGGCGACCCCGGCGTCGCAAAGACGAGGACGGCATGGAAGAGCGAAGAAGACATCCCTCGAAGAAGACTTCGAAATCCCGGAGGCCTCCCATTCGTCTCAAGACATCCCCGGGCACCCCTATGCGCATCCAAAAGACTGCGGCAGCCTCACGACGAGATGGCGATGGCGTTGCGTGCTGGCTCCACATGGATCGCCCTCCTCCTCCTGCTCCTCATCATCCTCCTCCTGCTGTTGCTCCTCCTCTTTGTCTTCTTCCTCCCCCCCCCCCCCTCCTCCGACGCGGGCAGCGACGGCTTCCCGAGAGTGGTTTTTCAACCCGGATCCGAGGTTGATAGTCCTGAGGCCCGAAACTGGCCTCCAGCCGCAGAGAACGACAAATACCCGCCAACAGGAAAAAACTTCTACCATCCTCCCCCCCCCCCTTCCTCCTCCGGGGAGGCGACAAGGGCCGCGCAGCAGCACGCCTGGGCGCGCAGCTCCTTCACCTCCGGCGCGACTACGGCAGCCGGCGCCGCAAGCAGGGGAAGGAGG